TAAACACAGCGCTCATTTCTGGCAGGTTTTTACTGTCAGAGTTTCTCCTATTATATTTATCTTACAATTTGCCAGGGGGTGAAGTTATTAAGTTTTAGCAGCAGCCATCGATCAAGTTCACAAGTTAACACGATAAAGGCTCTGTGCCGCTCCGATCCGGGAAAATGATGATCCTCACTCGGTAATTAACTAAATGAGAAAGTTAAATCTTACTTGAGAGCTGGGAGAGATGAAAGAGAGGTGTTTGTCAGTTTCTCAGTGGAAATTAGAAGCAGTTTTCTGCAATTCCCTAAGCTGCTGCTCTGTCATATTTTACATAAGCACTGGGAAAACGTCTTGTAATTAGTGCTGTCATGGAGGATTTTTTTTGCTGAAGGATGTTGGAATAATTCATTAGATTATCAAGAAAGGCTTGTGTCCTGAAATGATTAGCACAGTGAAATTTAAACCATTAACGATAACAAGTTTAGAGCTTGCTGCAGTGCAGAGGCACCCGGGGTATGTCTGTGCCTATTTCAATCATTTCTTATAATTAAACATTATGTCCTCTTTTTTCCTCCCCTTCACCAAGACCCATCCAAAATTCCTGTTAAGGTGGCTCTGTCTAGATCAGTGACTTAACCACAACTGCAAGCAGTTGGAGGTGAAATGCTGTGGTTGCAGATAAGCAATGGAAGACATCTCTCTCTGTCAGCCTGTAGTCCCAGGGAGTCTGGGAGGGAGGGGAGAAGCCCAGTATGACCTGTCAGTACTGGAACGTCAAAGGGAAGTCCGTTCCTTTTGTCTAGAGAGAAACTCTGAGAAATTTGCAGTGGTGGTCTCAGTTCTCAGTCTTTTCAGAGCTCCAGCATGAAGATGTCTTGAAAGTTCGGAAGGTCCCAAACCTTGCTGGGATCATTTAAGCCATTCTCGATATTCTAGGAGACAGCCTCTCTTTTTCCTTGACTTTAAGAGATGTCTTCTTACATTATGAAACATATAATCTAAATTCGTGCACCCTGTGGAAAGTACCTTAACAAAGTCCTCTGCAATGATTAGAGGACATGGTGGTTTGGGTTTTTTTAAATATGTAAAAGTTGTGACCACTCATATGGGTGGGGAAACACTATACTTATACTAGAATCATCTTATACTAGAATGTGCTTGTGTGTGTTTTTTCTGTGCTTTAGGAGGATCCTTGGTCCCCTGTACTGAACAAAACTAAAAGTAATCTTAATTGTCATATGTGGTATAGCTGTGATATACCATGGCTGTTTTGTTTTATATGCAGAGCAGTAGATTTATCCAGGCTTTATTTATCTGTGTTGAAATATTGCACCTTCCTATAGTTGCAAGCCATTATTTAGATTAAAATCCTTTCATGTATTAGTCGTCTTCTACTTCACTGGACATACAAATGCGCTTTGTGTTAAATGTAGCCATTTGGAGAAATGGTCTTGTAATTATGGGCTGCAATGGAGCATAGTACGTAGATCCCTGAGCTAGTACCAACCTGAGGCACTCAATCCCCTGGGTTTCCTGGCACAGCTCACTAGCTCAGGCACACCGTTGTAGGAGGACACCTCTGCTGTTCCTGCAGGTGAGTTGTTGTGCCTAGAGCCTGCTTGGGCACCTCTCAGCCCTCACTTACAGGCGTTTGTGAAAGGAGAGTCAGAAAAGGTTTATCTGTTCCAAGTTAGTGGTTTGCTCTGTTATATCCAAACTTCCTCCCAGGGGACAGACTACCAGTGCTTATTCTTCTTTCCCACTTTTGGAAGTAAAGCTTATAAAAGGCTTCACACTGTGCATTTGGATGGGTATTTACCCTAGCAGTATGGATGGCATGTGGGACAGTTCTTCCTCTTTTAGGTGAGGCCTGGTTATTGTACCAGGAGAGGGAAGAGGCTGTAGACAATCATGTGCTCCAGGAAATAGTTGCTGATTATTGTTCTGAGATGGTTTGTCATGAGCTTGAGGCAGTTGATCAGAATGGTTGAGTCATCAGGGTTTCTCAGGAAGCAAATCGATTCTCTTACTGATAGTAACCGCTCTCCCCCCAACGCTTTAATAATACAGATGCTTGATGATGTTGTTTTGTTGTTGACTTTTTTTAATAACAGGCCTTTTTCACTGAACCCCCAGTGGATTTTCAGGAATCTTCAAACTGAAATTCTGGAATTTTGTTCTAAACTGTAGCTACAGGCGGTCTGGGAGAGGCATGTGAGCATGTATTGCGATTGAGTGATTTGTGAGCCCTGTGAATTTGTCTGTCTCTACTCTGCAGAACTGGTGTGTTCGTGGTCTGCCCTGTCCTCCTGGTCCCCTGCTTGCATAGACCAGAGGACCTGCTGGGCACACCATGGCTACCTCTGGGCTTGTCCTCACTCCTTTTGATGGGAAACCAGCACAAGCAAGAGTGCAAATGAGGTCTCAAGCTGACATTGGCAGAATGCGGCCAAAGTACATGCATGAACCTAAAAAATAGTGTTCCACTGTCCACTAATTTGGACATAAAACACTGTAACATGGATAGTGCTTTTCTTAGCAGATCCACCGTATAAACCTCAAGTCTGACTTCCAGAGCTGTTGCAAGTGTTGGTCAATGGACTCTCTAATTTACACATTATTCCCACCCAAGAGGCCTGTATTCAGTTGGGATCCAGGCAAAATGGGTTGTTTTGTCCCATCTATGCTATCTGTTTGTACGCACATAAGCCATTACTTGTTTTTGCAGACGTTGCAGTTTCTCTTTGATACCCCAAAGGGCTGTTTTAGAGATAATTGGTGAGATGAAGGCTGCTGGGAGAAGGGTGCTCAGGAGGCAAGGAAGGGCCAGAACATGGTGGCACCCTGTGAAAGGATTTGCCCCTTTTGTGGTCTTTGCACATCAGCTCCAGCATAGCATATTAGTCAGACTTCACAGTCTCTTAAATTAAAAGGCAGAAGTATAGGGTTTTTTAATAATGCTTTGTAGAGACAGCCTGTTGTGAGATTGGCTGCACAGCAAAGAAAACGAGAAATGAAATGAGATCAAGCTTGTAGAATACAACATCTCTCTGCTGTCTTAATCCAGCATTTTTACAGGGATGTCTGTTTTGCAGGCAGCTTAACCGCAGCAAAAATGACCAGAATCCCTTAAGACCAATGTTCAGTGTAGTCCATTGGTAATTATTTTTTGCCAGGCTGTTGCCTACTGTGGACTTTGCTAGAATAACTCCAGCCTTTCACACCTAGGACTTCATGCGCACAGTCCCATTAGAGATTTCTCTATATAAAAAGTTGGCCTGGGAGAGTATTTCTTTCCTTCTGCCCAGTAACTGGGTCTACAACTCACCTGCAGTCAATGCTGTCCATGTGATGACTAAATCAAAGTGTAGCTCAGTCATAGCCCTCGTCTTACATGATCTTACTGGGGACACACAGAAATTCGCAGGGAGGAGTGGGGATAAAAGTAAGATTGAAAACACTGAGCTGCAGAATTGAGCACTGATGATGTGATCTCCATATTCTGTGTTCTCAAAGAAACTTAAGTCAAACCATAATTCAGCAATAGAAGGAACTGTGTGTTAAAAATGACAGCTAATTACTGTCTTTTTCTACGCTCTGTTCAGCTCTGCTGGAAATGCTGAGAAGAGTATTTAGGTGGATTTTCCCCAGAAAATGAAATGTAAATGGTGATTAGTTGAGTAGATTTTCAAACTACGAGTTTTTTGGTGTTTCAGAGTCAGGATTGCTGTCGGGGTTGGGGGGGTATTGAAATACAGGAGTTTTTTATGAGAAATGAGGAATTCCTGCATTCTAAACCCAGTTTTGGTAACTAGATTTTGTGGTCTCTAAATAACCCAGTGTTTTGGCACTTGCTGAAAAAAGGCTTTTTTGTTGTTTTTTCTTTTCCTGTAAAATCAGTTAATCCATGCATTTCTTTTAGGTCATTAGATACTTTTGCAGAGAGACTTAGGTACTCATTTCTTCCCTTAAAGTTAATAAAATCTCCTGGCGAGACTGGAATTATCTATTATTATTATAGAACAGAAATATGGCATCCCTACATGAATGTTTTTATATTCTGATATCTGTAATTTGTTTCTAATTATTTGATAATTAATAGAGAACCTCTAAATGTATTTTGTAAATAGAAATGTTGTAATAATATTGACTGTTATTATAATGCTGTCTGGTGTTAAATCATTGCAATGGAAGAGAGAAAATCACATGTTTTCAGCATTTAATACAAACTATTTGACCAGTATGGGAAAAAATAATTTCCAGCAAACAGTTAATCTTACTTGGACACGGGATATCCTTGCAATGCAAAATGTGCACTTTTCTTCCAGTTAAATTGTTTAGAAAGCAGAAATTATATCTTGCTATCAAGTAGTAAATTGAAATGTCAGTGTTTTGTTTTGTCCCTAAAACTCTTCTCTGAGCTGAGTCCTTCTGACAGGGTATTAACAGTGCTCAGAAAGTTGAAAATCTTTTAGTCTGTGAAAGAAGTATGTACCAAATATCAGGGTGTGTTTTACCTGGCTTTGCTCTCAAGGTATAATTTTATACTCAAAAGAAGTATGACCAATTTTTTTCTCATCCGTTTCATGCATTCCCTATGAATTTTAGCAGCAGTCCATTCTTCAGAAAAAAAAAAACAAAATACAAATGCAGTTTTCTGTTGGTGCATTGAAGTAACTGGTAACTGTAGATTAGGAGTCCAAATGCATTTTACTGTCTGCAAGATGTAATTAAAATTGTGTTTATGTTAAATTGCCACTCAAGGTTTCCTGTCTAACCAGAGTCCTTTGTGTGCAGCTCTGGCATGAGCCAGTGCATTGTTCTGCAGGGGTTACAGCTCAGGATGGCTGCACTCCGATTTACAACACAAAATGGGTTACATGGCCTCAGCCAACTTTATGTATCAGAGTGCTTTTTTTCTTCTGCTTTTTTCCCCCCAAAATCATAAAACCACTTGAGCTTCTTTTCATATATGTGATTTGGGTTGTTTCTGTCCTTCCTGTTTACAGACAAAACTTGCCAATGGCACTTCCAGTATGATTGTGCCCAAGCAAAGAAAACTGTCTGCAAGCTATGAGAAGGAGAAGGAACTCTGCGTCAAGTATTTTGAACAGTGGTCCGAGTCTGACCAGGTGGAGTTTGTGGAGCACCTCATATCCCAGATGTGTCACTACCAGCACGGACATATAAACTCATACCTCAAACCCATGTTACAGCGGGACTTCATCACTGCACTGCCAGGTATTTCTGCAGGCAGAGGGAGCTTGCTCCTCTGTCTTGTCTTTCAGAAAACCATTCCACTCTAGCCTACCCTGCTGGAGAGGTCTCTTCTAGGGTCAGTTTGCAAAACAGATGATAGCTTTTGATTGAAAAGCTCTACAACAGCATGAAATGTAGTAATATTTTATTTTGTATTCCTGCCATCTCTCAAGGCATGATCTAATACCACCATGGTTTGGCTATGAGTAAATGGTAGCTCATATATGTATTGTAAGGATAGTCATCGCAAGCCACAGGGCAGGTAGTTGTACTCATAATGCTCACAACGATGCATGAATAACGAAAATTTTAAAAATTAAAACTACTACTCTTTCTGGTTGCTCAGCTGAGGTTTTCCCTTTTCTTACTTAGATTTTTTTGTCTCTGTTTCCTAGTAAAATACCTTCCTGAAGCCATTGCTTTGATTATGTGTTTATTGCTAATAGAGAAAGGAGGACATAAGATCAAAGGATGGAAATGTTCTATTTTTTGCATCTCCGTAGTGCTTTCCGTTGAGAATATTATCCCAGCTGTTCTCAGATGTGGCATTGGGTGTATCTCACAGAATGCACACATAAAGTAGTGTACGTGCGGTCTTGTATTGGCCCTGTCTTATAGATGGGAAAACTGAGGCAGTGGGAGATAAAATGTATACAGCAATAGAGTTTCAGAACCAGACAGAAATTCCTGGCTCTTTGGTCTTTTTTTCAGACCATTAGATCATACCTCTGTAGATAGATATATAGATAGATAGCTAATAGATTTGCATTCCCATGGCATAGGTCCTTACTTTGAGATGGACCTGAGTAAGAAGTGCTACAGCTGTTGTCTCTAAATAGCTAGTTGAAGAGAGGAGTGTCTTGCCAAAATCTTTTTCTGTGAATACCTTTGGAGAACTGCTGAACTCCGACAATTTGTTCAGTCCAGTCATTTGATTGTTCTTCAGAAGGGATTTCTCAACATGAAATTAAAGTTCTAGGGTTAAAAGATGGAAAAAAGCATGTTTGACTGTGAATTGTACAAAGCATAAAGGCACCACAGAAGTTTTGCTATGAAGTTAAATATGTAGACTCACTGGATTTTTAAGCTCATTGTGCCCAGTAATCAAATGGCTGTTGTAGCATTAAAAAAAAAAAAAATCTTAGTTATGCTAAGTACCTGCTTTATGTTAGTTTCTAGTAGTCCAATGGCAATAATCTCATGTACTTAGAGCAGCATTATAACTTGTAGAGCTGTTCTGTTTCAGAAAAATAGAGAGTATTTTGAAAGTGCATTGGTTTCCCCACTTTTAAAGTGGAAGTGTACATATAGTTACATACACAATTTTTCCAGGTCTTTCTCGACAAAACTCCATCAAAGCAAGTCAATACATCTCATTTGCACTTGCTTAATTTCATCCTTCAGGCCTTTTTCTGAAAATTTGGGGCAAATGTTAAAAATATTTTCAAAGACATTCAAAATTTCTTAGCCATACCATATTTGTTGGTGGTCTTTTCACAGTTACCCAGGAAGCAGCTAATTTTACTATTTCAGAATGCAGAACAGATAGAAATCAGGCAGCTAATGTGTGAGTATTTGAATAGTTGTGGGAACTGTGTGCTTAAATAATGTATGTGCATCGATTTGCATATTTGCAAAGTGCTAATGTCCTAGTGAATATAGCTCTAAGGGAGAAAATTAATGGCAAGGAATTACACCGGCACAGACTCTGCAGTCTGTGCAGGATATCCTGAGTATAGGCAGGTTTCTAATGAGGGGAATGGCAAAGGGGAAGTTAAGAAACTGCCTAGGAAATAGTGATGAACCTAAAATTTTAAATTAAGTCACATAATAAAAAAACCTAAACTCTAAGTATTTTTTAGCTTTCTGAAATTCCCAAGTGTTCAGCATTCTGGTTTCATTTTTACTCCTTCATTCTCTCTCCTGCTTTCCCCGCCGAGTAAACAAAACAATAAAGCTACTTCAAAATCATGAGGCATCTTATCTCTGTCCTCCTAGCACTGTCCCAAAGAATGACCAGAATTAAAGGTAATTTTAGATCATGAGCACGTTTTACTAATATAGAGTAAAACTGGCTCAGATTATTTTCCCAGTACTTTGAACAGAATTAAGGTTGTTTGAAAAATACAGCTTAACATAACAAACTTTGTTCTGTTTCTGAAAAATAAAGTCTCTGCTTAGCATTTCCAAGCTGTTTAACATTTTTTATGAGGAAAGTCATTTTTATAAGGGTTTCATGTGTGAATAACTGAAACATTCTTGTTGGCGTGGAGGGCTGAAGGGCTAATTGTGTTTCACATCAATTTAGCAAAAACTTTTGTGAGCAGAGATTTCTCTTTTTTAAGGAAGCGATGCTTTGTTAGATATATGTCTCAGTGAGTTGTGCTGTTCCTAAGAAACAAAATAATAAAATTGAGTTTGTAGCCAGGCCAAAATAGCTCTGCCCGTCCACTTATCATAAATGTGAGGAGGAGAGACCAAAACATTAGTATTCCTTCTCTGTGAAGGGTCTAGGATCAATGGCAAAGGATGACTTAACGGTCATGGAAGTAGTTACACCACCTCATTGCAGCAAGATCTAAAGTGCAACTACTGATGATCCAGAAAGGGTAGGTGGGTCAGAGGCAGACTTCTGGGTGAAGATTACTGTGCCCAGTTTATGCAGTGTAGCCCTGCTTCCTAAAGCCACTGATTGTTCTCCATATAAAATAATTTCTTGCTGTGACGCTGCTGACATAAAGCCACCAGTATGGATACTATACAGGCAGGCATTTGTAAATGTCCTGGTGGGTCTGTAAATGTCTGTGGGCCCATTGGAAGCAACACAGACTGGGAAAGCAAATATGCCATTTCCACCCAGTGGAGAGAGCTGAGGGCTGCAGGTGTCAGGGTGGGGAAAGCAGGGGGACACGATGTCCATGTCTGCTCTACCAAATTGCGGAATTCCTGCAAATTCCAGTTTATGTTCACTAAAACATTGTATCGCTCTTTCCACGAATTGCTGTAGAGTCAATCTAAATTTACAAACTCTCTTTTTTCTTTTTTTTAAAAAATTTTATATAGTGGCTGTATATATCTTTTCAGATTAAATACATAATAAAGGCTGCTGATGCTTTTATTTTGCAGGTTGACATCTAATTTTGCATCTATAAAGATAAGAAATGTCAGACCTCTTTCTGCACTCTCTGTTTGTGCATGGTATCATTCACATTCTTTTTTCTAGGTATAAATGGAGGCATAAAATGCTGGGCAGAATGTCTCACCCAGAGTGTATTACAAATTTAGGATGTTTGAAAGGAGTGAGAGGAGGCATGCTGAATTTTCTCATTTTCATGCATTGGGCCATAATTTTGAGATCTTTCGGTTAACGAAAACAAAGGTTGGGCCTTTTGTGTCTCATGAACTCTAATCAGAATCAGCTGATTGCACCCAGTTTGGGTTTGCAGAAGTACAGGCATGTGACTGTAAAAATGCACTTGCTGCTTTTTCTTTCCCTGTCACAAGCAGGGCCTGGTTTTTGAGGCTGTTGCTTTAAAAGCAAGAAGACTTGCAACTCTGAGAAGCAACTCTGCCCCAAATGTGAACCAGAGGGAAGATGCATGTAATACCAATCTGCCATGCTTCCTTTTTGGTTGGTCTGAACATTATGCCTGAGGGATGATGGGGTCTAAACTACAACTTTCACAAAGCCTCTGAAATTTGACCTGTGAAGTGAGATAATGTCTTGATGGTGTGTCTCACTTGTGAATTAAACAGCCTCCAAGAGAAACTGTATTTATGCAACATCTCATTTAAAAGGCATCTTACTTTCCTGAAGTCTGGCTAGTGGTTATATTTGAGTGGGTAAGGGCACATTTTTACTGAATACATGCATCCAGTTAAGAAACGTAGCAAAACCTGCCCTGGCCCCCAGCTATGCAGACGTTATCTTGGGCTGCTTAGAATCATTAAGGTTGGAAAAGACCTCTAAGATCATCAAGTCCAACCATCAGCCCACCACCACCATGCCCACTAAACCATGTCCCTAAGCGCCTCATCTACACGTCTTTTAAATACTTCCAGGGATGGTGACTCCACCACTTCCCTGGGCAGCCTGTTCCAAGGCCTGACCACTCTTTCAGTAAAGAAATTTTTCCTAATGTCCAATCTAAACCTTCCTTGGCACAACTTGAGGCCGTTTCCTCTCGTCCTATCGCTTGTTACTTGGCAGAAGAGACCAACCCCCACCTCGCTACAACCTCCTTTCAGGTAGTTGTAGAGCGCGATGAGGTATCCCCTCAGCCTCCTCTTCTCCAGGCTAAACAGCCCCAGTTCCCTCAGCCGCTCCTCATAAGACTTGTGCTCCAGACCCTTCACCAGCTTTGTTGCCCTTCTCTGGACACGCTCCAGCACCTCAGTGTCCTTCTTGTAGTGAGGGGCCCAAAACTGAACACAGTATTCGAGGTGCGGCCTTCACCAGTGCCGAGTACAGGGGCACGATCACCTCCCTACTCCTGCTGGCCACGCTATTTCTGATACAGGCCAGGATGCCATTGGCCTTCTTGGCCACCTGGGCACACTGCCGGCTCATGTTCAGCCGGCTGTCAATCAGCACCCCCAGGTCCTTGGTGCTAACCAAGCAATTGCTTTACATTTCACTCCAGCCGTGTTGAAACAAAGCCAGTCCTGGTATTCACACTGGAAAATATTTGCAAATTATACCATTTTGGTGCGTATTTTTCCTCCACCCACTAAAATAAATGAAACTAGCAAACCTGCTTCACTTTCTCCTTACACAGCCTCTCCTTCCCTTTCGACTTCCCTGTGCATCTGCATATCTTTCCCTCCCCCATGTCTAAAGGTACCACTACCCTTCAAGGCACACATTGGGAATATATATTTTTTTCTTCATTACGTTTAAAAGCTACTGCTTTAGCAAAAACAGCTTTTGAGCCGTTGGAACATGAGAACAGCTGTAGCAGTGAGATGAGAAATGGTCCTAATATAGAGAGATTTTGGGGGCTGCGTTGCTGAGTTGGAAATGCCATCCATAGAATATCCCCCTAGTGCTAAAACCCATCGAAATAGATTGGAATGACTTCTTGGATTCTTTATTATTTTTAATGACTTGTTGTGTTATATCCAAAGGAAGTTGGAGAACGCTGTTCACTCCTGAACTTAGCCGCAAATGCTCTTCTGTGCATTTGGTCCAGCTCTGCATGCAGAAGAGGAGATGGAAAGAGAGGGTATCTTTGTACTGGCAAGGAGAGTTGTTTTAAACTCCGTGTGTCCCCAGCAAATAATCTTTTTTTTTTTTTTTTTTTTTTTTGTCTCCCCCAGCTCGGGGATTGGACCACATTGCTGAGAACATTCTGTCATACCTGGATGCCAAATCATTGTGTGCTGCTGAGCTGGTGTGCAAGGAGTGGTACCGGGTGACGTCGGATGGCATGCTGTGGAAGAAGCTCATCGAGAGAATGGTCAGGACAGACTCGCTGTGGAGGGGGTTGTCAGAGAGGAGAGGATGGTGAGGAAACTGCATCTTCACCTCTTTTGCCCCCATTCAGGACAGTAGGTGCTGTTTGTTTCAAACCATGTTTGAAGAGGGTTATTTAGCACCCTGAAACATCATGTTGGTTCTAAAGCTGACAGTTGCTTAAATCAAAATTCGGGGGTTGGGGAGTTAGGGCATCATTTGGCTACGCAAGCAATGTGGGGGCTTTTTCCTCACCTTTCTCATCTGATCATGCTCTTATCCCACTGTGACAAGTGAGATATACAGACTGAGATTTTTACGCCCAGCTGTCATTCGGTTCAAATTAAGAAGCTGTGTACGCCCCAGGGGAACACTAAACTAGTCAGCAGTTCAGAGCAGAAGAGCTTTTTTAGGGGTGGCAGTGGGGCAGCATGTGCTATGAATTAGTTGTTTCCTGATAGGTCTGTTTGTTTTCCTCAGCAGATTTTCACTATTAGATATCTGTTTAATTTTCAAACTGGAAGCTGAGGGTAGGTACCACGGAGAATAGGGGACTTTAGAAATGCAGATAGATTAGTTAATAATCATCTGGAATAGCCTTACTACAACGTGGGTCTCACTCAAGTTTGAAGCTGCTCTGTTAACATTTCATTAGAACTTTCCCTCTCAGGGGTACGTCCTTTAATACATAATTTTCTTTTCCAAGGGTGTCCCTAGGATGTTGGCGGAAAGGAAGCTGGGTATGAATATTTCATAAACAAGATAAAAGTGACAGCTCAGGCATTTTGGTTGCTATTAAAAAGAAAAAGATACGGAGTTGCAAACAAAGACTCCTGTTTTATGGTTAATTTTGTTACACTGTTTGTCTCAGGAAGTAAAGGCGAGTAAATCAGCATTATGAATATCCTTTAAAAATAAATACTATTTTGATCTGCTTCCAGTAGTGTAATGTTTATAAAGAGTGTAAAAGAAACACAAGCATGGCAGTGATAACTTTTGCATTCCTTTTAGTGTCTTGTTCTCTCCAGGACTTCTATTTTTGCTCTATATTGTTGAGGTCACAGTAAGTCCAAAGAGGACCTTGAGAGGTTATTTAGTCCCTCCTGTTTCCCAAAGGCAGAGCCAGGTTTCTCTTAGGTCATCCCAGATGTTTGTCTAACTTGTTCTTAAAAACCTTCACTGATGGAGATTCCCCAGGCCTTGCTTGGGCAAGGAATTCCACTGTTTTGCTAACTTTAGTGTTAGAAAGATTTTCCTAAAATCTAGGCTGTCTTCCTAGTTACAGTTTGGCATGTTGTATTTAGCCTACTCAGACACACAGGATAGTTTCTCCTTTTTGCAGTAATCTTGTCCATGTTGGAAGATGATCATGTTCCCTACATTTTGGATGTGCTAACCAACCATAATCCTGTGCTGTCTTGTCCTCTTGTCATTCTTGGTTTTCTCTGTTTAGACCCTCCCCAATTACTCTACTCCATTCTTGGAGGATGGTGTAATCAGCTGGATGTCTTACTTCTGCTGAGGCATCACTAGAGTTTGGTGGTGTGGGAAGCATGGCTTTGCATGCCATATGTAGGAAACTCCATTTTATGCTTTCCAGTAGAACATGTGCTTCTTTTTTAACAGTAATATAATACTGTTATAAAATTAATTACCCTTTCTGTGCAAGTTCTAATTAGCCATTACTCCTTATCTTGCATGCTTATGTTGTTTCTCCGTGGTGAACTTGGCACTTGTCCTTATTGAATTAGATTCTATTTATTGTTTGGTATTTCTCCATTTTGTCAGGAGCATTATGAGTTTAATCTTGTCCTCCAAAGTGCTTGTAGCTTCTCTAAGCTTTAGTATCATTGGCTAGGTAATAAATGCACTCCCTGTTACATTCTTTGTCATTAATGAAAATGCTCAGTAATGACATATCTAGGACAGATTCCATGCAAGATCCCAGTTGCCATCCTGTTTGACAGAGCACCATTGGTAAACTGTGCTTTCCAGCCATTTGTGTGTCCACCCTTGAGCTCTTCCAAGATCATACTTCTCTTGCGAAGTCATTAGAATAGTCTGTGAGAAGAAATCAGGTCAGTTTGACATGGTGTATTCTGGATTGATCAGTGTTGCCTGTTGTTTGTCACCTTGTCATCTAGGCGCTCATCTGATTGACTGTGTGTCTAGAACTGCTAAGCTGTCAAAGTTGAGTTGGATGGTCCACCATTTCTTTGGTGGACCTTCTTCCCTTTTTTTAAAATACAAGAGCTACATTTGTCTTTTTCCTGTTCTGTGGAACTTTACCTATTCTCTACATCTTGTCAGAGGTCATAGCTGATAGTTCTCAAGTTGCTCCCTCCAGATTTTAGAAATAACATTAGCACCAATTACTAGTCATACAGACACATGACATTTCTAAAAAACGATTGCAAAATCCTGCTTCTCATCTCAAAGGACAGTCACACCCTGTTACTGCACCTCTTCTTCAGGTTTACACTGTGTCCTGGAGGTTGCTTTGACACAACAGGAGCAAGTTGGGCCATGTCTTTCAGCTTGCCCTCTGATTAGCTCTAGAAGATACAACTGCAGGCATGGTGGGGTGGTTAAGAGAGGCAGACAAGAAATATCCAGTGTAATTGCATCTCTGCCATATAGAGCTTTTTAGCTTGTAATCAATGCTAACGCTGTGCATGGCACAAGGAGGTGACTAACTGGACAGTTCAGAATGGTAGATGACTAGTGTTATTTGCTTACAGCTCCTCACTTTGCACATGGGCTGATTTCAGCATTTGCAGCTCTTGGTTTACAACAGAAACACCCGGTTCTGCAGCATCGTAGCCTTCACTGACAGCTTGTCAGAGAGCAGTAAGGGTTACACAGATTTAGAGAAATACAAAACAGAAGCCCAAAATCTGGGCACAATTGTGTCCATCTGAATACTTGATTGAATTGGCCAGTCATCAAAACCTGCAAACAATAGTTTCATTTATCCCAGAGCCACAGCACAACAGCCACTGGGATGCCATGGAAATTCCAAGCAATCCTTTAGCTGAACTGTAAACAACTGACTCTACATGCGGCAAGGCAGGGCTTATAGGTAGCAACAAGACCTTGTATTAGATCAGTTAGTAAAGTTGGAAACAATAGACAGGTTCTCAGGCACATAGGCTTGTATACAGATTGTCGTAGACCTACCTCAAGTCTTCCAGGATGTGTCCTAGGTATTCTGTGTGTCTCCAAAGCATTTTTTGTCTCCCTGGGCCAATAATTTTTATTTTCTTGTATGCACTTCCAGACTGGATCACAGTAAATAGGCAACCATCTAGTTAGTGGTTTGCCTGCATCCATGTGTCCCTTCTTCACGTGTGTTTGTCCCCATATGAGTGGCTGCTGGTCACTGTATTTGAAGACTCAGATGATTGCTCTGTCCAAAGTGGAAAGCACCTTTGTCTCAAGTTGTACTTAAAGTACTTTATTTAAAGAATTATCAAAAGTTCTTGAGCATTTCTTACTTTGTTCAGTCCTATAGTTTGCTACTGCTTTATAACGTAAAAATTTCAGTTCATTGTTGTGATTTCCCTAGTTCAAGTACATCAGGACAGCTAATGTACAGTCTCTCAAATGAGTTTCAGGGTATACTGTATGGAAAGGACAAGAAAGAAGCGCGCAAGGAAGTATTGAACAATTAATTATGCCATGGTGGAGCAAGGGAGGGAGAAGGGGAGAGCTTGCCCAGTGTAAACTCTGTGCCTCTGATGCCAGGATTACACTTGGAGGCATTTGTGCCTCTCTCCATTTTGTGAGGCACGTTGCCAGGCAGAACAGCAGTTAGTACGCCCATGGTGGGGTTTACTAGCTTCCACACCGTGTTTGGTGGCTTCTTAACTTCAGGATGAGGAATTAAAGTTTTTTACACAGCAGGTAGTGATTGCCGTTTACGGATTTTTTTTTGTAGCAAAAATCTAGCTTGGGATATGAGTATTCCAAATCAGTGTTGAAATAAGGGAGGCACTGTAGATGAAGTGTTGCTTACCAAAATACAGTATTAGTAGTAAAATGTCCATGTACCAAAACTGATACTGTTCCTGCTAATGCAGATAAAAGCTAGCCTTGAATGCATAGTGAGTTTGAGGGTTCCTTGGCTTCTTTTGTTTTCTTTGTACACTTTATTTTAAAGGTGACCTCTGATATGGGTATGTGTATTGCAGGCATGAGCCATTCTCACCTCCTATTGAGTTGAATGGGCTCATGTCCATAACTGATAATATATTCCCCTTCCCTGAGTGATTAGGCACAGATTTTTCATGAGTATTTCAGTGTGAAAATGTAACACTGACATGTTGCAGGGCAAACAAACAAGGAACCACCCCATCTTACTGAGTAAATTAGGTTTGAATATGAATCTGTCTGTACTTTTCAACAGCAGTTACCCATTTGTAAAATGCCAGGAGGACCTTTCTTGAAAATGTGAAAACATGATTTGTGTTCAATGGGAGTGTTCTTTGTCTTCCAGGGGACAATATCTATTTAAAAATAAACCTCCTGATGGGACTGCACCACCCAACTCGTTCTACAGAGCACTTTACCCCAAAATTATACAGGACATAGAGGTAAGAAACAGCTTCCAGATGTGGTGGTGTTTGGTGGTTTTGTTTTTTAAATCTCTCTGATTTATTCATGATGCTGAAATTCTGACAATATTTCATTCTAATGAAATAGTTCATTAAATCTGATGTGTCTGTCTTTGTCCAGAGTTTGTAGACCTGGGATAGTTATATAAGGTCCCAGGCTTCGCTGCTTTTTTAGACAGAGGATGAGTTGGATTGTTCAGTGAGCTGTTTGCAGATGGAGTCTCTACACCTTGCACATCAGATGTCACAGCAGTACCATACCATCTTGATTTTCTGTGTTCCACAGTACTTTGCTCCACCCCGTGCAGATGAGACCTAATAAGATGTTACGGGGGGATACCAGGAACTGAGCCAGGGAGACAGTGCATTGCTAAAGACTGCAAGCCTGAGACCCAGGGAAACAGGAAGCAACTGAGCATGGTTGCCTTGTATCTAGTGTGAGCAAAATGCCATGTTCTAGTAGTTTCCTAATGGCAAAAGCGGTGCTCAGGCACTGTTGTGACAAGTTTGTAAAAGCACTTAGCTAGAGCTCAACTGAGACTTTCTCTTCAATTGTTTAGTCGTTGAGTCACAGGGGGTTAAAGGTTGGAGGCAGAAAAAAGCTTTTAGGTCACTTCTCCCTCACCATTCCAGATAACACAGACGAGTTTAGTCACAATATGTTTTCCAGGCTTTTCTCCATTTAATTGGTTTTATTACGTGTGTTGCTTTTTCTAGAAAGTTATGTCATTGTTTGGGCCTGATTACAGGAAAAAGTGTGAAGAAAAGTATCTGCTGTCTTCTCAAACAAACAAAAAAAGTGGAGATAGTTCTGTGCTTTATTTTTACTTCTCTCTTGTGTCCTGTCTCTCCTCAAGACAATAGAGTCAAACTGGCGGTGTGGAAGGCACAGTTTACAGAGGATCCATTGCCGAAGCGAGACAAGCAAAGGGGTTTATTGTTTACAATATGATGATCAGAAGATAGTAAGTGGCCTACGAGACAATACTATTAAGGTGAGAATGCTCCAAAATGGCATACTAATGACATGCAGTGTCCATGCCATAAATAGCAGTGTCCTAATTTCAGTGACACCTATTCAATCTCTTGTTAGTAACCTAGCCTTCTCCTTCTCCCACCTCACATCTGCACAGTATGTATGCCTCTCTTATCTGGCAAGAGAGACCCTGATTTCTTACAAACAGACTTTACTAGCAGAGTTTTTGTCCATCAGTAATTACAGGCTATGTAATTACTGTGCCCTGTACCCGATGAGAAGGGTAAAACTAATGTTCATAGTAAAGCCAGTAATATCAAAGATGTTAATGTATTGCACCAAAGAGTCTGTAGAAGACTCTACAGATGTCACTAAAGATGTTCTAACTGCACTATGGATGATGTGTTGTAGTAAAAAACAGACCAGTCAAACCAGTAAGTGCTGAAAGATGAAAACCTTACTGACGTGTCTGGTTTTGAATGTTTGCTATCTTAGATCTGGGATAAGAATACATTGGAATGCAAGCGAATTCTCACCGGACATACGGGTTCCGTCCTGTGCCTCCAGTACGATGAACGGGTGATCATTACTGGATCTTCTGACTCAACAGTCAGGTGTGTGCTCGTGATTTGGAGCTTTCTGTTTGCCTCTAAGATTTTAGGCCTTGCAAGCTGCTGAAATGATCTTTTCCTAAATGTGTGCTGTTCAATTGGTTCTGTGAAGTAGTTCAGCATATGTGTTCAGGAGTGTACTGTCCTTGTTTATCAGATGTCCATGCAAATGGCTGTCAAGGAGAAATGAGAACCTAAGCAAAGGCCAGTCAAGGTTAAGATGACTTAGGAAGGCCATCTGGCATTTCACCAAGGTTTTGCATGTTTTGACACTCTCTGAGAATGTTTTAAATTCTCCTGAGGATAACTTTTTAAAAGTTGGTTGAAGTTTTCAAAGCAAGTTTGAAGGTTTAGTCATCCGTTGTCACTTAATTTTAACAAAAGATGTATGACTAGATCTCCTGTGACTTTTAATTAAATTTCAGCATGATGTTTCTTTCATTCAGTCTTTCTATCCTTGCTTTCTTTCCAGTTTCCAGCAAAAGGCTGGCCACCTCAAGTCAGCACTTGAGGTGCATGTTGTGCAGATGTGAAGTCCACTAGACATATTACAGGATCCCAGACAGTCTAAGACCTGCAGTGTAAATACAGGGACATACGAGTTAGTGAATTGCAATATGAACTTGGATGTGAAGGAGCAAGTCTGTCTTCTCCATGTTGTTATATATTCTCTTCTTGTCAGAGTACAAACAATGCTCATGCAGTGAAGTTACAGACAACAAAAAGCTGTGTCAGTGGCCTTTTCTGAAGCGATTAGCACGTGTTCGTACGGCTGCAAGCTCCTCATGGTTATCACCGTGCTTGCATGTAAACTACCACTGTTAAGCTAATAACCATTAAATTTAGGTCCTAACATGTGATGCGTGCAGTCTCGTGGTGCTGCTAGATTTTGGGGTCCTATCATTAGTAGGAATACAGAATTTCAGCAACACTGCCTGCCAGGAGATGGTGTGGGAGCTGCACTGTGCTAAATACATCGCAAAAGAAGAGGCTGATTTCTGTAACAAGCACTATCATCTTCTATATCAGGCCAGGCAGGCCAAATTGCAGACTGGCTACTTGCCCAGAAATACTTTGTTTCCCACTGTATCTATAAATGTTTGTGCAGACCCCAGAGGCACATAGGATGCATCACTTTTATCCTTGGGTCTCCTCAGGAAGAGGGGCTTCATCCAATAGACAGTACAGATGGGCTCTTAATGCTTCTGAGATCTCAGGGATGCACTTGTCCAAAGAAGTCAGTAGGTCTCCAGCTCCTGTTCAGTTTGGCAACCCTGTCTGCAAACTGCTCCTATGTTAATGGCTCAGGTCTTTAGTCCGGGTTTTTCTTCTTTGCATTTTGTAATTGGAATGTGGTTTTCTTTCTCATTTATAGTCCATAAGTTGATGCACTTCAGCCTCCATAAGTTAGAAAATAAGACATTAGAAGTCTTTCGCACATCTTGCCTTTCCTTACTGCTCGCCTTATTGGCAGAGGAAAGTTTTAACTTCTGCGATGTCTGATGTGCCTGATGATACAGCCATTTTCTGCTCTCAAGTAGTGTATCTGGGATACAGGTGTGATAGTGCCAAAAGAAATCTCTCTATGGGGGGTAGAAGAAGTTTGCCAACAGAATAGCCCAAAAGAAACCTTTTTAAGGCTTAAAATCTTCATTTCAAGTCCTAGAAGTTCTGTATGAAGCCTTCGTCTAACTTTCATCTTAAATTATCTTTCAGCTGAAACAGTTGGTTCTAATAACATTAAATTGACATAAATGCTCTGTCTTAATTTGGGTATTCAGCACATTCCTGGAACATAGCTGCGTACCAGATGCACTGCAGGGTAAATGCAATTCGTGGTGCAACTTGTGGCAATTGTATTTGTTTGAAAAGCATTATCTTGTCTTCTGCTTCTGTATAAATTATCCTTTGAGTTCATAGTCCTGTGAGAGAGGTCAAAAATTAAACCTGTCGCTGAACTTGCTTGTCCATAGGTCATGATTAAATACTCATTGACTGGAAATGGAGTGTGTGGTAGGCTGACAGAACCAGGAAACATCAGTCTTTAATGCTATCAATCTCATACTTTTCCTCAGCACTAAGTTCCCTTAATTAAAGAACGCTTTTTTCCTGGCTGGGTTATTTTTATGGTGTTAACTGCATTGCAGGGTTTTTGGCTGCTGGACTGTCTCAATGTATGCATAATCAACAGGTTTATATAATACATCTTTTAATGAACTATTTAATAGATGTAGCTATAACTTGTGTGTTTGCTTCTCTAATATTGCTAAAGAGTCAATTACCTCTCCCCGTCCCTCTCTCGCTTTGCAGAAAATCAATTGTACAGTTTTTTAACTCTCTTCTCTCTGGTTTGAAATTTGAAACTGCAGGGTGTGGGACGTGAATGCAGGCGAGATGCTGAATACGCTGATTCACCACTGTGAAGCAGTACTGCACCTCCGCTTCAATAATGGCATGATGGTGACATGCTCCAAAGACCGTTCCATTGCTGTGTGGGACATGGCTTCACCAACAGACATCACCTTGAGGAGGGTGCTAGTAGGGCACCGAGCTGCCGTCAATGTAGTGGACTTTGATGACAAGTACATTGTATCAGCATCAGGTGACAGAACTATAAAGGTGAGGTGTTTCAGAGGCTTTTTATTTGCAGCACTGGGGTATTTAATAACCAAGAACAGTGACCAGACAGGGAGGATGGTCCTTGGGAGTTATTACACAGATCTTCCTTTAGAAGCAGTGTTCTTCCTGCTGCTCATTTCCACTTGTCCCTCCTCTGTTGAGCTTGCACAGCTTGTTTACAGAGCTGTATGGCAAATCAGATCCAGGTACAGATGCAGTTGAAAAAGGACTTTTTTTTCTGTGTTCTTTTTCGACGTGACCACTTCCATAATCTGTTTCAGCATCAGTCATTCGAACAGTTGTCAGAGGGCAGCATGGGGGCAAAAGTGAAGGTGAGTGGATAGGAGTCACTTACGTGTTACTGCTATGATCCCAGTCTGTGGCATTAAAACTGAGGAAAATCAAGACCCTGTGTAGACCAAATCATAGCCCAAGAGTGCTAAAGCCTGATTTTGGAAGCTAATTCTCATACAGTGTGGCAAAAACCTTCTGTGTACAGTGACCCAAGCTGCTAACAGTTGCAGACTATAGTCACAAGTCATCAGAGGGGTAATTTTCCCAGTCTTAATGATAGCATCTTCAATTAAGAGCATTCTGGATGCACCCTTATATCATACAGATACCAGCTTTTGTTAGTCTCTTCTTAATAATTTTGTCTCTGTGTGGTTCCCTCCCCCCTTCCTGTCACAGGTATGGAACACTAGTACCTGCGAATTTGTGCGCACCTTAAATGGCCACAAACGAGGCATTGCATGTCTGCAGTACAGAGACAGGCTAGTAGTGAGCGGCTCTTCAGATAATACTATCAGGTGAGAGACACACTCCCCATTGCAGAGTTCTGTGCAAGCATATTGTCTCTGATTGCCTGGGATGTGCAGAGGTTAGGCAACTGAAGTGCTCTGTACCCTTGTCGTCTTTGAAATATGCTTTCTTTGGTATAGAACATTGGGAACTACTGGAAAGAGATATTAGAAGCCTGTTTTACTGTGTTGTCTTTCATCCTCTATATCTCAAGGGTACCATACTAATCAACAAGTTGCATTGCTCTGACAATTCTGGTGTATGAAAGAGCTGGCAAGTACCACTTTCTGTGATGTCCTCTTGTGATATTTTAATTGGGCTATGTGTCTAGTTAAAGGGGTCAGATTTGCAGTAAGAGGCATTTAATCCTCTGCAGAAATCCTCCTGGGCTCTCGCCAAACTCTTCTTGTGGTACTTGGCACCTGGTTAAGTTTGGAACAGCTGGTTTAGAGCATGAAGTTCAGTTTGCTGCCTTTTGCACTTCTCCAGCTGCCCTGGTTGCAATCTGAGATTTAACTCCTTCTGGTATCTTGAGCCAGGATTTCTCCCTACAGCCTGCAGCTGCTGGCAGAGCGATGTCCCACTAATCTCGGGGTGTACGAAGCAAGCTTGAATAGTAGCATATGTGACGTAGGGAAATGGCTCTGTCATGCAAACAGGAGTAAGAGCAACCTCCCTTTTGTCTTTGTCATTGCTTTAAATAATTGACTGCCTTCTGATAAAACTTGAAAGCTGGACAGTGTAAGTAGAAACCCTTCACTTTGCATGTCAGCAATAATTTCTCCTCAGCGAGAATGATTCAGGCTACTGTTTGCCTGTGGACTTTGCTTGCAACACACTGCCTTTCCCTGCTTTGCATTCTGTGGGAAAGTGGTGGTCTTTTGATTGACATCACCAGGTCATTGTGCCAGATTTTGGTATAGGGCTGTCTGAGAGCGTGACCAAGAGGGCTGGAACTTCTGTCTCTTAATCAGGGGAAAAAGTATTACAGGCACTGTGTAAGAGTAGCACCACTTATACGCTTAAGAACTCCCACACTTCACATAGGAAAAATAACCCTCTGCAATTGTACTATGAAACTTGGTCTCAGAATTAGAGTAAGAAATAGTTAAATATTACAGCAGTTAGGGAAGGATCTAAAATAAGACTTGCAATGCTAATAAAAATAAATGTCAAGATAGTGATAACACTGAAGAGGAATACAGTTACTTTTATGCTTACATTGGACAAAATCCCTAGTTGACAGATAAATTGTGCTAGAATTTCAGGAATGTTGGCAGTGAATCTTAATGGAAGTCAAGTTTGGCAGCTGTGTGGGCAAGGCATAAGACTTACCTGGTCACATCGTTTTCTCCCAGCCATTAGTAGAGGGCACAAGTCAGTGGAAGGGTGATTAAGAAAGGGCAGGTTATTACGTCATCTTTGTGGGTGGCTTCGTGCTTTGTATGTTTGACTTTAATCCACTGTAAAATGCCAGATGTTGTGTGTTGGCCTTTAGTAGAGGCTGCCTCCTGATGCAGAATTTGAAGTTCATCGTTCCCCAGTTGCAGGGAAACTTTTTTCCAAATTTTTTCTGTGATTTCTAGTTTTGCAACTGCAAATGTAAGGACATGTGAAGTAGCTGAGAAATCAGTATCTTTCTTCTGTAGGAAGACTCAATGTATGAAAATGATTTAGATTTTGTTTTAGGCCGGAAATTTCACCAGTGTAAGAGGGGACAGCTACATAGGCATTGCTATCATTGTGCCAATTTTCATCTGGTAGAAACTGATCCATCAAGTTTAATCCAGTCACTTCAGTATCTTAGCCTCTAGGGCCAAAGTTCTTAATTGCTACACACAAACATGGTGTAGAAAAAAAGAAAAAAAAGAAGATAATTTAGAGCAAGAAAGTAGAATCAGACTACATCACCTTGGGTTAATTTTTAAACGAGTGGTTGATTTGCATGTGTGTGCGCACATGGGGATCTGATACTGGACTATTTAGACAACAGCATTCTCTCTAGGAGATGGGGATTCAGGCTCACCTGCCTTCTGTACATCTTCCAGCTCTGCCAGGACTTCAAGTGAATTAAAGGCTGAGATAATTGCAGACCTCCCTCTGCTTCCAGAAGTTCTCCCAAAGCTATAGGAAGGAGGAGTGGTAATGTTTTCGACTGCGTACAGTTTGTAGTGAATTTTTTTAGTTAGTTCTCAAGCCTTAAGAGTAGTTCTCTTACTATTTGGTCCTTTGACTATTTAAAGAAGTAGAAATTTGGGAAGGTTATCAAATCTGGGAGGTACCCTTGGCACCAATTCTGCTAGGAGATCTGCTCTTACATAGCAGTTATCCCTTTTGTACATGAAGGCCCATTCCCCACATGGCTAGGGACATGATCATCTCTTCTAATCCCATTCACATTCAGGTAAAAACTCAAACTGGGACCTGAAAATACAGGCCTGAATTAGTGTGATGCAGCCTCCCAGAGCTGCTGGCAATCTCAGGATTGATGGCAAGGAATGGAAACACATGGCATGAAAGTTCCTGGCACAAGATTGCTCTTCAAACCTTTCTGCCCCAGTTCATTTCTGGCATTGTCCATCCTGTTTACAGTCCTTGAGAGACTTAATGCTCTCTGACTAGCTAGAGTGCCTTTGGCTGACCTTTGCCATGGAGTTGCTTGCTCTGACCTTGACTGGTGTGCTGCTACTCATGTGAAAACTATTGGGATCTTCACAGATTCCTGAAAGATCAACTTCATGGATTGAAGAATCACCTTGTGCTCCTCGTTGGCCTTGAACGTGTGCATAGACAAATCCTTTCCCAGTTCTACAGTGACAAAAGAGTTCTGTTCATTCCTTTGTTGTCCAAAGTGAGAGCAGCTTGTCGTGGCATGACAGCTGCAATCATTATCCACCAAACTTGGGCACACATCCACTGGATCTGGATTATTCCCTGGGAGACCTCAGGAGTGAAATATGTGGGGACAATTTATCTCTTTCTTTGTCTGTCTCTCAAGGAAAAGTGACATGACTCCTCAGCAGCTGTGTTGCTTCGAGATGTGTCACCCAGAGAAATTCCACGAACCACCCGTATTTCTCACTACTGTGAAGCTCATGTCAGTCTGAACACTAATTGAATGAGCATTTAAGAACATTTGTGACTGCTTGCTTTCAGCTGTGTGTCAGGGAGCCGCGGCAGATACTGCTATTAAAAGATTCCTGTATGAGCAGAGCATGTCTCAGCCAGAGGTGGAACACCTCTAGACAATACATGTCAAAGAATTTCAGTTCTTGTAGGCAAATAATCTTTCTTTATCCATGGTAATTGGGAGTCATGTCAGAGAGCTGACAAAAGTATGGAAAGCAAATAGACTTACTTCACAATTGTTTCAAGCGTTTCTTAAGTATTTTTCGAGGTAGTGTGTAAGTGTAAAAAACTGATGTATTTTAATTTATTCTCCATGCTAAAAATCCTTCAGAAAGTCCAAAACTCTGGAATATTTACAGTTGAGAGAATAACGCATTGCTGGGTCTCTTACCGGGATATTGTGTACTGGTTTTGGTGCCAGAACTTTTCTAAAATATTGGATTATTAGAAACACTTAGCAGAGAGCCGCAGGAATTATTGGAGAGCAAGAAGAAAATGCATTACAAAATAATAAACATAGAGTGCCCATTTTAGCTTATGCATAAGGTGCCTAGATTACAGGGTAAACATACCTTCAGTGGGAAAAATGACAAATAAAAAGGGCTTGTTAATTCTTCTACCTTTCACTGTATTAATGTCTTAGTTTGTCTGATGGTAGTCTCCAAATCAGAAATAGGCGTGTAGGATGTGTGCCCTCTGAAGGTGATCTTACCAATTTGAACAAGCTGCCAAGGGGATTGGTAAGTCTCCCTCTCTTAATGTCTTAAAGTCAAGGCAGGATACTTTTATGAAAAATCAACTTCAGTAAAATAAAGTAATAAGGCTCACTGTGAAGATAACTGGGAGATACCCTGTGTTACTAGAGCAGTGGATACTAGACACAACTGGTCTTAAAATTTTTGGATCTCTGACTCATTTCCCATGTGATACTGTAACATCACAGGGTCATGTTGAAAAGCGTGCATCCGCTTAATAGCAGCAAAAAGGAGTGATGAATGTAGTTTGTTTCTTCTTTGTTGCATCATCATAATCTTTATTTCCAAGTTTCCATCAACTACAAGGAAAGACCAAATGTTTTGTTGCAAGATATTCAAAAATTCCTAGTGCTTCTTCCTACTGTCTTCCAGGCTGTGGGATATCGAGTGTGGGGCATGTTTACGAGTACTGGAAGGCCATGAAGAGTTGGTGAGATGCATACGCTTTGATAACAAGAGGATAGTCAGCGGGGCATATGATGGGTGAGGCTGTCAGTGCAGTCAATACCTTGTATCTTCCTGTCTGTCTCAGTGTCTCACATGCCACTTTGCTGTATCTTCATTATAAATACTAGACTCCTTGTCTGTTATACTAAGAGGACCTTTTCATGGCCATGCTACAAAGTATACCTTTTTTTATCTTTTGAAATAAGTCAGTGTGATTTGATGCGTGCGGTCCAGTTCTTTAGCTTGTAAGAATATCTGACTGACTCAACCTGAAACCCCTTCTAGCTGAGCCACGGGTAAAAACAATCTTTCCCATCTGTGGTTATGTCTGCTGGACCATTTGCCATTACAGACCAGGTGTCTGCACTCCCACATGTTTCTGTTAGTTATTACCACCTGCTTTTTAGGGGTTTACTTTGTTGACAGCATATTTTTTTCTCCCATTAAGCTCTATAAGCTTTAGAAAGGGGAAATGCAAGAACCAGGTCTCAAGAGCGGAAGGATTGCTGTAATTTTCCTTGAGCTGGTGTATCAGCTAAGCTGTACTAACAGTTAATTTTTTTCTGTGAGCACTTGTTCTTTTCTCTTTAACAGAGCCATGGTGTTTGTCTGTTTTTTCACTACTAGAAAAATTAAAGTGTGGGATCTTGTGGCTGCTTTGGACCCCCGTGCTCCAGCAGGGACCCTCTGCTTGCGAACACTTGTGGTAAGACCTTTCGGTAGGCGTGGTGGAGGGGGCAGAAAAATGTGCTTGATCAGGGCTATCTTGAGCCATGAAAACTCAAGTCAGCTTAGCCCCAGTCTGCAGGATCTAGAAATCATTTCGTTGGGTGTCCAACTGTTTTTTTTTAATGTTGCAAGCTATAAAGCATTAAAAATTAGAACCTGTGGAGGTTTCATTCACTTTTTAACAGTTTTGTTCTGTGATCTGAAGTTAACAACTAAATCCATTTTTGAGACTTGTCCTTCTTGGAATCCATGTGCCAGTGGGTTTACTTCAGCCTGTGTGTACCTAATGATGTAGTAGTACGTTGTCAGAATTGTGGACATGGAATTTCTCAAAGTAGTAGATTCCAAATTAGAGCAACAAGAACAAAAGCAACCTTGGAATTCCTTTTAACTGGCTCTTGGGTGTTTAGGGAAAGGGAGGCTAAGGACTGAAACGGACAGTGGAATTGACTCATCTTTAAACAGCAACTACTACTCTCATGCTTTCCATTGATATTTAGTGCAGGTCTGATGATGGTGTGGTTAAAATGTCATTGTGTGAGTGTTAACGACATTCACAGTCATGCTGAACAGTGGCTCTGCACTGGTCTTAGAATGATATGGGAAGGTTGTGAGAAAAATGCCAGTACAACCAAGGCCGTGGGATGGTTCCTATAAGCATTCCTCCATCACATTCACCCCCAAAACCTGCACTGTTGCTGGGGATAAAGGAAGACTTCAATCGAGTACCAAATTCTCATAGAAAAAGTAGTAGTAAATGTATTTATTTTTTAGCTAAGAAATGTTTGGGCGGTGTTTGGGTTGGTATATGTTAGACCTGCTGTGGCATGTGACTGTAGTCTGTGCTCTAAACCAAGATCATACCGAGGCTGTCCAGATTCTCTAAAAGTGCGGTTACCTCTCACCAGCTGAGCTGTGCTAGCTGACCTTCTGCACACTCATTGACCACCTGAATTGCTACTGTTGCTGTAGATTTTGCTAAAGTATTTGACTTCCCATTTGGTGCAGGCTGTGAGGGTTACGGTGACTCAGCTGACAGGCAGTAGATCATTAAGTCATGCTAACTCTTTTCCAATCATGTATTTGGACCATAAGCCTGCAGAGTTAGAGTCTGTGAGAGCCTTGGATGCCTGCAGGTACTACGTTGAAAAACTTTCTTGTTAGCCAAATAGAATTGCAAATAGTTTCACAGCTGAAATCCAGAAAAACCCTTTGTCATTGGCCACCCAGCTGCAAACTATGGAATAACTCTGTGCCCATGAGCACATATCCTGAGAGTCTAGGACTTCAGCTTGGTATTAGCAGTGTTCCTGCTCCAGCCTGAGACAAATGTGTGCCTAGTAACCTGTAGACTTAATTTAACTGGTGTGATTTCCTCTGCATTTTCCAGCAGTGGACAGCCAAAGTGCCCCAGCTAATTATATTATAAATCAGAAGCGGTGGGATGGAAACACTGTAGGAATCTCAACACATGGATACTCATAAATCCCTGTTTGATAGCGATGGAGGGGGCCAGAAGACAGGGCGCAGAGGAGGCTGTTGTGGTGCTTTTAGGACTTTTCATGTTTATGACAACAGGGTGTCCTTATACCCGCTTACCCATGGTTTGAGGTTTTTTTTCCTCTCTTCCATCGGCCTCCAAAATTAAACCTGGCTGCACAATGAACATCGTGAGTCTCCTGCTGCTCGTGTTCAATTTTCAAACAGTAGGAGGAAAGTGCACAGATAACAAATGTTCGCTGCATGCCAGGTCCCTTCCAGTTTTGTCTTCCATTAGCTGGAACAGCGGCCACAAGAATTTGACAGAAGCTTTCCAAGCACAGAATAAGCACACAGTTCAACTTTCCTTACGAGGTTCAGGTCCTTGTGGCCTCAGCACAGGGTGTGCAGTCTGCTTATTGCCACTCCAACAGCAAAGGGCAGGTGCTGTATAGAACTTCTAGGGCAACCTTATTTAGCCTACAGTGACTGGGAGAAAAAAGGGAGTTTTGGAAACAGGCTTTGGAAGTATCTCTCTCTCTCTTGCCGTCTCTGTGAGCAGTCCCTCAGTGAATCTGACTACCGTAGTGGTATTTTTTAGCAAGAACTTCACTTACTTCTCTGCTGCAACACAGACTCTGGAAAAACATTTCTCTTTGGAATAGGTGGGAAGGTAGAAACCCATAAGGTGTTTTTAAGACAAATTTTAGTTATGGTTAGAAGATCAGAAAGGTTCCAATGTCTGAACCTTTTTTAAAATTTATCTTAAAAATGGAATCTGACTTTTGTGTGTGTGTTTTCAGTTAATTTTAATTCTAAAATGTAGAATTTCACTTTAAAGCAGCTGTTTTGCTTTGCAGACCGACCTGTATTTTTGTAGTCCTGTGCCATAAGGCTTCCCATTTAGTGGCTAGCAATTCTCTTTTGTCTAAATATTCGAAAAACCTGTATTTTCAGTACTAGAATATTTTAAAGCATGTTTTTTTCCTGACCCTAGGTCACTTACAACATGTGAGCACTAGAGAGAAATATGTATTAATAGAAGAGATAGGGCTCACTCTACTTGCATGGTTTCTGTTCCCTTCTGACTGAGGAGGCCACTGCTCACTCTTGCAGCAGTGTAAGCACCAAGAAAAAATAGGCAACACAAAAGGGCAAGCATAGTGGATTTGCTCTGTGATATCCAGGATCTTGCCGTTACCTCCTGTTAATTACAGTCTGAACTCTTGCCAAATCGTCATGCCATTTCCACTCAGCCTCAGAGCAGAATGCAAACTGCCTATAAAGAATGCCCTTTCTAGTTAATATTTGTAGAACTGCTTAAGAGGAATTATTACTGTGTCACTGGACTTTACAACAGGCTTCTTAGTGTCCTCCGGTATTAAGCTCTTTCCTCTTCAGCAGTGGCAGTGATGCCAACTCTTGAATGCAAAGTTCTCATCTCTCCCCTGTAACCTGCTGCATCTGGGAATGCTGTGATTTCAGGAAAGAGTTTCACCACGGAACAAGGAAGACAGTGCTCCTATTAACCTTGCCAGACTGAATTGTGTGGTGGAGGGAGCTTGGTTTGTTCTGCACAGTGTGTGTCCAATATTGGAATTTAAGGAATAATGGGATAACTGTAATGTAAACTTCCTGCGAGCCAAGTACACAGATACGGCAAACCCTTTCCACTGAAAGAGGGCTTAATTTACGCTATGTGATGGTAATGCACAGTGTGTCATGTGAGGTTTACTAAGAAATGAATGTAATACTAGAATCCAAGCCCAAGTTCATCTTCCCTGCTCCATCCCAGCAAGTTTGTGAAGTAACATGCTGTGTCTCCCACTTGCATTTAGGAGCATTCTGGAAGAGTCTTTCGACTTCAGTTTGACGAGTTCCAGATCGTCAGCAGCTCACACGATGACACCATCCTCATCTGGGATTTTCTGAATGACCCAGCTGCCCAAGCAGAATCCACTCGTTCCCCGTCCAGAACATACACCTACATCTCAAGATAAATAACACTACATTGTACCTCACACTCGCACAGGTAATAAAAAATTAAAAAAATAAAAAAGAGGCTCAAAGGTGACGCTGGATGTAGTGTGAGCATGCTGCTTGAATAACTAGCTGGGTCTATGAATATTTCTCATCTTGGTTGGACAGTAATTATAGTGTCCTGTAAAAGGACAGGAATGGTTTTGATACCTTAGAATAGGGACTTCATTTTAGGATTTGTGGCGTGTGGCGCCTGTGAGTTCCCCTGAAGAACTCCTCCTCCTCTGTCCATCATCATCAATAATTAAATCAGCTATCACTGCTGTCCAGAAGGAAGAGGGTTTCTGCAGAGCGAGTAGAGCAGCTGCTGCCTAACAAGGGGATGCAGATGGCCTGACCCTGGGCAGTTGTCACCAGGCAGGAGGGTTTTGCCAAGAAGCATCAGCTTTATTCCCTCCCTCTGAAGTGGTGACCATTCTTCTCACTCTGCAGCAAGCTGATTCAAGAGAGCAGTTTGGCTAGGGGAGGAGATACTGAGGCACAAGCCCAGGCAAATTAAATCGAGATGCATCAATGTGCAAAATCATTTACTGATAGGGCCTAGCCCTCGTTCTCTCTAGCACAGCATGGGTGTTAAATTGTACATGTCAGAGCCTGGCTGGTTTGCTCATTACCTTACCCTTTTGTCTTGGCCAACACAGTGTGGGGAAGACATAATGTTTCATATATTTGGGTCAGTTGTAGAGTGGATTTGATGTATACGAGTGGAGTGGGATAGCATGATTGCCCACTTCGGTGGGTATATGCACCATTACTGTTAGTAGCTTGAGAAAAATGGCAGAAGAGCTGACAGGCTTCTGCAGGCAGACGGCCACAGTGACATTTTCCCATGAAAATGCTCTGTCATGGGGCACATCCTGTATCCTGTTTGATTGGTAAATATAAAGTGATGCTCCGGAGCTGTCAGATCAGCCATCTTGATTTTCTCACTCTGGTCAATCAGGTGTTCTTTTAAATCGTTAAAAGGTTTAGTACGAATGGGGTTTGTTTGGTTTGTTCTGTTTTTTGTTCCCAGGACTCACTTAAGCTGCAGTATTTAAATTATCTGCCAATGCCAGGACAAAAGAACTATCCACGTAACCAATACTTGCTGAAGAGAGAGGCTCTCAGACTTGTTTCTGGAACAAAGTTGGCATGCGGTTGATCTCAGACAGGGTCTACTCAACGCGGCTGACTGCTGAAGTGCTGCTATACCAGAAGATGACTTTTATCTTTCAGGAACAGTTAACATTTTTAAACCTTCCCGTCCCTTTCCTCCCTTGTCCCTCTCTTCCTGTTCACTCCTCTTCCCTTTTCCCTGTTTGGTTCCCCTCCAAACCCAGTCACAAATGTCCTATGAATATATTTAAGATGTTGCCACAATGTTGCTTTGCTGTTAAGCAGAAGGCTTAGAGTCACAGTGCACCCTGGTGAGAGAGTCACTTCAGGATGGGTGGGAAGGAGGCTGCTACTCTCAGACTGAAATCGATATCCATTGCTAGGCCTTTGAAAAAGCATTCAGCTCTGAAGAGCAACAGAAAGACTTGTAACAGCCAGACCAGCCCCCCCCCACAACTTCCCTGCAGCTTTTGGCTGTTCTGAGTGCAGACCTATTTTTTGTGGAGAGAGGACCCTTGAAATTTGACTATTATGAGCCAAATCCATCTCTTTCCTCTCCTGCCTGCTCTGCTAACCCTTTGGAAGCTGGATGTGTATTGTAGTCTCCCTTAACATCTGCTTGTCTGGGGAATGCTAGTCAATGAAAAGTTAAACTCTCTTCTGCCAAAGTCCCAAGCATGATGGACTGGGGCTGAGATCCCGTCCACGTGCACTCTGGGAGAAACGTTGGCCCAGGGCAGTATTTCACTAGCAAAGGGATTGTCTGTACCATCTTCCTCCTGCTGTTCTCCCTGAAGACAATGTATTGCTGATGGCTTACGAATCATTCTGTAAATTGGAGGAAGTTTGAGGCTGGGGTGAGCAGGAAAGCTGGACATTGCTCCTTTCTTTCCATTCCTTGTCCCCTCAGAGAGGCTGGAAGAGGGAGCTGCTAAAAACCTTGTGGAGCTCTCAAGATCGAGCCACCCTAGAGTGGAGACACTACACAAACACTCTGGCCATGACAGTAAGATTTTGCTCACATGAGCACCTGTGGGGCACAGTCCCCCGGTGATGGCAGATGGGTAAAATGAGTATGGCCATGAGTACAGTCAGTACAGTTAGCAGTGGCTCCAGGCTGGTTCTGCAGCATTTCTGGGGCTGGCCTTCCTAGAAAGCCTTCAGAGGGAGAGCCTTTGGTGTGCTTCTCTAACCTACGTGCATGCTGCATTGCGGTTTAGGGACACAGGCTGATTAGTCCCTTTGCTGATAGCTGAGCTGCATCTTTGCTTTCTAGCTGAGGCTTTTGCAAATTGCCATTGTTTAGAAGATAAAAATAGCCCTGAAGAGGAGGGACATGAGAAACAATTCTGCTTGCCTCTGAACCAGAGAGAGAGGTCTGGGGGAAAACAGCTGTTTTTACAGAGCTGGAAGGAATTGCAGCAGGCCTGGATTTGGATCAGGAAAGACTGTAAAGCAGTCCCTGGCCATTCCAGATTTGGGCCCAGATCTTCCACTGGGTCTTGAATAACCTCTACTGCCTTAGTGGGGAGTTGCTCCAGTCCCACAGTAGGAAATTGGAGCCCTTCATCTCTGGGCTGGAGGGGTTTTAAACAGGCTTTGTTAAAACCCTTTAAACTTGGAACTTGGCAGATGGGAAATCTTTTTAAGCTATTCTCATCAACTTCACTTTGCTGGGGAAGCAGTTGCATTGTTTCTAATTGCTTGGAATGCGCTTTTTCCACCAATGAAATTTTGCAAGGAGCTGGGCCAAGAGTCCCGAAAGAGCAGTTCAGAGGGCTTAAATCATTTTGGTAACAGCTAAGACAGACAAGAAGGAGATGGGAGTTATGGAGGAAGGGAAAGCTGGTGCTTGGGGAGTACCTAGTGCAGTTCCTGAAGCACGTGGGCAGCAGTGTTGAGTGCTCAGCTCCCTATATTTTCATTGAGCCTAGAGACTACATCAGTTCTAAAGAATGACTCAGAGCGTGTGGTGACACTCCTGGTTTCTGTTTGAACTCTTACTGTAAATGAGTCAAACAGGTTAACAACTCGACTCTGTTCAGGTAACGCTGGCAGTGTGACTTACCTCTGCAGAGTTATAAAAGTTGTGAGTCCCAATGGTAAGTTCATCCACAACTAATTTTGGCACTACTTTTAAGTCTAGGAAGGCTGTTTTGGATTTCAGGTAGCTCTACATATCAGACATACTGCAGTCCCAAAACCAAAGTGGCAACGGAACAGAGAGAATCAAAGTTTATATCCCAAACTTTGCTGAGTTGAAGTTCTGAGTCTTAATGTTATTTGAACACCTCTCCCCTAAGTTCAGTTATTACAAGGTCTGTAGCATGGTTGCATATCAGCAGGGTTTATATGACCTTGGCTGCAGATTTAATAGTTATTTTCCTCAGTTTGGGCATCCTCTGTCTTCTACATTTAGGTTATTGTAGAAAACAACAATCTGTTACTCCAGCCTCTGAAGGCTGCAGAACTTCCTAATATTTTAATTGCATCTTTGTGGGTAATACCTGCAAGGATGCATTTCATTTTCCTAGTTGAGGGAATTTGGGAGAACCGGAAGACTGGCTGGCCAAAGAGACACCACCATTGCAGATTGTCCTTGGTTGTCATAGCCCTGCTGCTCCATGCCGCTATTCTGTAACTTCTAAGCACTCTTGGGTCTTCAAGTGGTACCATAGTTTCAACTCTGCTGTATAGAGCTGTTTAAGGTACAGTTAGTGAGCAACAGCTGAAATGCATTTTTGGCACATGGTAAGAATGGTGTCTTACCCTCAAGAAGGGACTGTGTCTGGGTACTTCATACAGAACTGCAGAAGGGCAAGGATTCCTACCCTACTGCCCAAGTTGTACAAATTTTCTGATAGCTAAGAAGGAAGCTGAAGTTAACTGATCTAACTTGAACTTGAAACTGCCACAGCCTGACATTTGGTGGTGTTTATTGTGCACCCGGGGAGGAGCAATCTGGTAAGTAGATCTCCCAATGTCAGAAGAAAGTGGCTTTTTCAAACTTCCCCCCCTTAGGATATGTGTGTATGTGTGTGTGTGTGAGTGTGCAAGAGTGCATGTGAGAGAGGTTTCAGCATGAACTGGATGGATAATCCCTCAGCCAAGTTGGAGTAACTGCAGAGTTTATAATGAAAAGAACTAGAACGTGCCTGCTGAAAGGAGATAAAAAAGGTCTGGAAGTGTCTGTGGGCTTTGTGTTGCACATCACTTTGAAATGAAATGAAATACCTCTGCTGCGTAGAGATCGGCACTTCTCCCACAAGTAGGAAGCTCACACTAGCCTTCCCCCTTGGACTGTGGGATGGAAAGTACTGGAGGTGTGGGACATTCAGAACAGGACAATCCGTTATGGCCACACCATCTCCTGTGTGTGACTCCTTTGCAATAGGGCACAGTTTTGCTGCAAATGTTTCTCATCCTCAGAGGAATACAGCTTGCTTTAAAATACACAAATAGAAATTGGCATGAAGGCATTTGCAGCGAGAAAACTTCTGCGGCTGTCTCCTCTGGAGCAGCTCCCTCTGCTCCCTGTTAAGGTTCAGGGACAGACACATCCGCTGTTGGAACAGAAGGATTCAGGTGACAAGTTGAGAAGTCTGTCGTCATCGGAAACATTGAAATGCTTTACACTTGTTTCTAAACTGGAAGCTGACTTGGACCACCATGCTCTACCTACCCGCCACCTGCTCCTGCTCCAAAGGATCCTTTTTTCTTTTTCTTAATTTTTTTTGAACACTGAAAAAGCTGGAGAATATCATGTGCCTTCCTCCACTCCTACATATGTGTTTCCTGCCCCTGCCACATGTTCCTTTCTCAGTCTGAGCAGAGCTTCAGGCTTGGTTCTGAGTTTTTTTGGCATCGCGGCTCCGATGGGAAGCACATCTCCAGGTTGGGCTTTTTGCCTAACT